AGCAATGTACTGGCATCATTATTTAGTAACCACGATCCATGAGCAAAATGTACAAATGAATGTGAAATTTGATTTGAATATAATGAAAAACTTAAAATTAAAAATAGCTTTTTTTGTGTGGGAGTGTAATGAAGAGACACACGATAAGGTTTGTTACAAATTTAATAACCAACTGGATAAAGCTATTAAGTTATAAAATAACTCCAGCTGACAGTTTGGAAGTTTATTAAAGCATTTCCAGCTGAAAAGAGCTGCAGATCAGCTGGCTCTCATCTAGGGACCTTTATTTTTAACGTTCTTTATTACCTGTTGTAATCAGATTTAGACCATGGTCCCTTGTGTGGAAACAGAGTTCCTCCAAAGGTTCCTAGTTCCAGGTTATAGTTCCTCTGATGGAAACACAGCTTAACATTACTGTGATCCACTGACATCACAAGTTTACCTGACTCCTGTTGGGCTGCTGAAGTGAAAGTAAGAAGTTGCGATAACTAAAAATACTCAAGTAAAGTACAAATACGAAAAAAGATAGTATTTGTACTTCATTACTTTCCACCACTGTATGTCACAAGAAGATGATGTAATGAGTAAACAACCATTACAATATGTTGTGAACTGTGAGGTGGTTTCCTTGGATGAAAGCCCCGTGGCTGTCACTGCTGCAGCATGCGAGCTGTACATGGACTCTGTGGAGCTGGGAATTTCCCACACTTTCTGAGCTGAATGGATTCCTTAGCAGCTGTTTGGTTTCGTATTTGAAAGACCCACTCAAACAGACAGAAGAGGAAATGGGCCAGCAATTGAAACCTCTATATGAAGACATGCATTAGCAAGAATTTTAGAAAGGCTAGTTTTGAATCATGCTCCATTTACCGCTGCCTGTTTACGTTTTCCCATCCTCAGCATTGCTGTAGACTAATCTTGTTGAATCATTCACCTGACTAATTTTACTTAATTTGATTAATTTCAATTTTAACGCCAATTCAAAGTTATCTCATTGCACTTTTCACATAGAGCCAGCTTAGACTGTACTCTTTGTGATATTATTTACAGAGACCAACATATCCCACAATGGGCAAGCAATAGTGACACAGACGAGGAAAAACTTCCTTTTAAGAGCAGAATCAGACTTGATGAAGAGAAGTCAGATTATGTATGTGCAGGTTTCTCAAATTAGCACCTGAACTGGGGGTTTTGTATTGACCACTGAATGTATAATACACTTAGGTGAACTGATATTGTGGTGAACTTCAAGTCTGTGTGTTTCGTGTTGACTGTAGGTACCTTTTTTGAAATACCTGGTTAATGATAAGAAAGGTGGAGTGATTGTACTGAAGGACATGGGTCCCATGTGCATGCAAACCTGCATGTAATGTTTTTGTGTAAATATGTTGAACATTATTATTTATTTATATTAAGTGGGCTGATTATTGTTCCTTTATTTAGCGCATACATTTCAAGACAACAGAAAAACTTGCCTGCCACAGTGTCAGGCAGTGAGAAATGTTATTTCAGACCCTTTGTATGTCAAAACACAAAAAGGATGAATAGAGGAAGGGAAAAATTAAATGGATGCCTTTCTGTTTTGTCCTTTTCCCCCTCACATTTGTTATCTGTTTTGAAATCAGTCTGCCTGAAACATACAACAAACACAACAGTCTCCTCCACGTAGTCTGTGTGGGTGTGGGCGCTGAGAAATTTTTTCTGTCTGAAAAGTAGAGTTTACTTTTCAAACTTACTTTTGTCACTGAGAAGACATTTCAGTGGAATTATTAACCCACTCTGGTGTTCATGTCAGGAAAGATCATCTGAAATTTTGTTGACTAAGGAATTCCAGAGTTTAGCAGTTGTATTTTTTATTTTTTTTTCTTGCCCAGCTTTACCCTGCTTTTTGGCAGTTTTGGGTTTATCTAAAATGTACATGACCAAACTGAAGAAGCTGATGTAATTACACACCTCCGAACTGATAGTTGGAGCACACCCTGCGCTTGTCAGGTTGCCACACCAATCGTACTACATCCGGTGTGTTTCATTATACCGACAGTGAGTGAATGAGTATGTGTGGCTTTCTGTGTCCCCGAGTTGCTTCACATCTAAAAATACCTGTATAGGATACGTCAATCATGTCAAAACCACGTGATTTGTCATATAAAAGAAAGTAATGGGCAGTGACGCTCTGTCAAACATGAGTATATTAAATTTCCTGTTAATGGACTGTCCTTGTATAGCGCCTTTCTAGTCTTCCGCCCACTCAAAACACTTTACACCACATGTCACATTCACCCCATTCTCACACATCCATACTCTGATGGGTTCAGTATTTTGCCTACTTGGCATGCAGGCTTGGGGAAGCAGGGGATCAAACAGCCGATCTTCAGTTTAATAGCTGGCCTGCTCAACCTCTAAGCCACAACTACCGTATTACAAAACCGCCCGTTACAGCTCTCTCCCTCTGCAATGTTTGTGTGCCTCTGTTCGCCAATCAAAATCCATTTCCAGCGGGTTTTTTGGGCTTTTCCAAATGTAAGCTCTAACATTCTCAGGTCGTGTCAGGATGCGTGCATAAATCTGACCTGTCACAAAGACCTGTAGGAGTATTGGTGGGTGCTCTATTGAACTTTGTTCCTGTTTCCTGTTTCTTTTGCTATTTCCTGGCACCCCCTTGCCAGTATTTTAAATAAATCAAACGCACCAAAAGAAAAGAGGAACCAAATAGGGAACCTAGAGTGTATTAACATTGTACCAAGCAAGAGTCAGAATCAAACAAATTTTTTAGGAAAATGGAATTTCTGACATTGTGCCAGTGTGGTAATTGGTTTTACACAGATATTACAACTACATTAGTAACTGTACACTACTACTAAGATGTGAAGTGTGACTTTAACCCCATCTGAAAGAATAAATGGGGAAAACATAAGGGATGAGTTACTACTCCTCAGCGGCTAACTGTTAATTGCCAACAGCCTTTGATAAGCTGATTGCTCAGTGCACTTAGCTGCATTTACCTCAGTATTCCAGTCAGACATTAGCTGTATCAACACCATCTGCACCCCGACCCCCAGTGGTTGTGTTTGCTTGCAGAAGCAATCCCAAATGTAACCTGATGAGCTGCTGAATACACACACATGGCAAACACATGTTTACTGAAAGGTACAACATTTATTTGCCCTATGCCTAATGTACAAAAATGTGTCCCAGAGGGCGGTTGTGGTTCTTTGAACTCTAGAATATCTTTTATGTGGTTGAAGATGCTTGAGACAAGTATCTTTTAGAGAATTGCTGGCCATTACGAGAGAGAACATTATCTAAAGTGATTTGACTCAACCCTGAAACGTAAAGGTTTGTGGCGGCAGTACAAACTGGAACACTCTGGAAGTTTGGAAATTCTGTGTAAGAAAACTATACTATTATTAGTATTTATTTAACAGGGCTGCACAGATGCATTGAAAATTAAATGATGTAATGTTTTATAACTCACTTTCAGTTCTCGTTTATAAAATAATATATATAATAAAAAATATATCTTATTAAATTTGCGAATGGAAAATAATACAAGTATAGATCGCACCAGTTGGTTTACTCTAGTTACCAAGTTTGGTCTTCAGGCAGAAAGCTTTGAGTGAAATGCTGTCTAGCTTTCTAGGTAGGAGTGTGGACTGAACTTGTGGACAAAGTGGATTTGTATGAGCTACAGTACCTATCTACAATCTTCTAGCAATTATTTGGAAACATAGGGCCGATTTACTAACATCCTGAATAAAGAGTGCTAAATTGTGTGTGCATTCTAAAACGTGCAATTTTAGTACCCGTTATGGGTGACTTACTAAGAATTATTGCGTTGATGACAACAGGAGCAAACACAATGAAAGTGGCTGTATTTAAATGAGGGGTTTGCATGTTTTAATGGTTTCCGCCATTGAGAGTTGGGAGGGAAAGCAGCCACTGCGTAAATACCTTTTGGTTGGTTTTGTTCAGTGCGTCCCAAGTATGTGGAAATCGTACTTGCCCATCCTGCCTGAGACTGCGCTAAGTACTTGGGACAGCACACCTGGAAAACTGCTTTGGGAAACCCCAGCAGAAACAGATACAGTGTGCTGGAATAACCCAGATGCGATGAAATGCCAGCAGATCGTGCTTCATCCAGCCAGAGGGAACAATCACCAGCCGTCCACACCAAGCCCGGTTGCTCTGTGATCTCCTGGCCTTGTACACACCCTCTCCGATACCTGCAATGGGTTGTCGCTATTACGACTGGCGTGCCGTGATCGTTCCCTCTGGCTGGATGAATTTTACGTGTGATCCATGTACTACTGTAGCAGGGGGCTCTCTGCAGCGCCATGCAACTTTCTAAATATTTCCATCTCACAGAGGAAAGTCAGGTCGAAACGAAAATTGCTTTATTGGCATGAATGTTAATACAACAGTATTGCCAAAGCGAAAGGAAAATGCAAAGAAAATAAAACTATTCAATAAATATAGTTCATCGAAAAAATAAAACTGTATTTCAATATATTGGATATAGAATATCTAATGTTAAGTTCTCTACGTTTTCTTTCATTACCCTCGCATTAAATTGCTACTTTGCACAATAAAATAGAAACGTCCCAAATTGCATATTCATTAAGGCAAAAGTACTAAATGAACAACAGGTTTTATTTTGAAAGACTTACTAGATCAGCTTATGTATTAATTTGCTGGTGATATCAAGTTTGCACATGTTTTTAATCTTGGCAGCCTTGAAAGGTTGAGCATAACGAACATGTATCAACTGCATTCTTGACTAATGCGGTTTGTCATTGTGTTCTTAACTTTAAAGGCACTGAACAAAAGGCAAACTGGAGAAAGGCAGTTGTCTCATGCTTGGTTCTCTACTTTGTGTAGGGTGAACCTAAATGTCTTTAGGCCAAAAATAACAAACTTTACGTGCCGTTAAAGTCCAAATTCATCACCTTTTTGTTCTAGTTCTTAAGGATCTTTTTCTCTTCTTTCTTTCTTTCTGTCAGGTTCAGGCTCAGGTGAGCTCCTCCCTGGCTGTCGCCAAGGCGCTGGCAGATGACGTGGACTGCCATGTGTTTCCCTTCAGAGATTTTGGAAAAGGACAGATCAAGAAGCTTCGCATCAGCCCTGACGCATTCATACAGATTGGCTTACAGCTGGCGTACTACAGGGTAACACTTTGACAGGCACATGCACAAACACACTCACATTTGGTGGTATAGTGGCAGAAATGTTCTTTTTATTCAGGCATTTCAATCTATACTCTATGTGGCTGTAGCTGAGGAGCCAGTCCTAAAACAGCAGCCACGGGGGGGGTTGGTACAATATTGTCCAGCACAAACGTATTCAGACATAATTCTCTGTGGAACTGAAGTGCCGAAATGAATATACCTGTGAGGAATGATGTTCCACACTGTCACCTACAAATGCCTCCTTTTGTAAAATAGGGACTACAATCATGTCTACCCACAATACCCTCCTTGAAGCAGCAATATCCAGAAATGACTTGTCATGGCTGCATCAGTTTCATGATTAAGACTACCCATCATTCATTTTCTCCAACACTTGCATGCTACGATACATGTGCATCTCAAAAAATCTGAATATTGTGGAAAAGTTAATTGTGAGCACCAGAACCAGACTGAGAGATTAAAGGCTTTTGAGTTAATTAGCTGATTAGAGCTCTTCTCAGGTTGACATTTTTGTATTATAAATTCTTTATTCTCAAAATCTATTAGAAATGACCAAATACATCTATAGCATTTTTAGCATTTAGCTAGCTAGCCACCGATGTAAATTTCCCCATAAATATGTTCCCCTCCATTAAAGCCAGTGGCAGCAAATAGATACATGTGAACCAGAATGTTGTCTCGTTAGTACACAGCATAAATAAATTACCGGTTAGGGTAGACTGATTTTTCTTGCACAAAGAATTAATAAATGAAAGCAACCTTTTATCATATTAGGCTTATAGTAACATGCATCTTATGGCTACGGTAGTGATGCACTTCATGTGAAAGTTGAATATATTGGAGGGGCAAAAATGCGGCTGAAGCGGAGCATAAAAAAAAATTTCATTAATGAGGAGATCTAAGCTGAATGATGATGCATGATTAAGAGTGAGCAGTGAGATTTAAGTTGAATGATTAATAAGCATTTAGTAAGTTTATAAAACAATTTACTGTTATGTCTTAATTTAATAGCAAGATATTAATTTTGCTTCAAATTTCAATCTGGCATCTTTAAGTTTGCATTCAACAGAATACCTTTATTATCTCAATTAAAGGTACTGAAACAAATGTTTATGTGACATAAAAAGGCAAGTTATTATTTTGTCAGGTAAAAAATGTGCTTGGCCAGTGGATTATTTCATCTACCAGTCCCATTGGCAGGTGAGCCAAAAAGTTCATTTCCACCCCTGACTGTACGGCTTTAGACACACCGGCCCAACTCAGACGTGCATTGTCTTCCTTGTCTGCACTGGCTGTAGCAGCACAGATTTACCAACACTGTTCTCTAGCTTGTAGTAACAAGTCTGTCTTATTCTTTAACATGGTCTTTAACAAGCCAGGAAAACGGATATTTTGACGTCAACGGTTTCAAGAAGTTTCTTGCCAAGTAGGTTTGTCTTGGTCTATTGGTACATAACAAAAAACATAGTATGTAGAAAATATAAAGAGAGACCGATGTTTGTGAATGCACTGGTTGTGTATTATACAGCAAATAGATGAGAGAAACCTGGCTGGAAGTTGTTAATTTTACATGTTGATAATAATGATAATAAAGGATACTGGGGCACATGAGGCAAACTACTGCATTACTCTAGGTTCAGGTGACGTGACGTTTCAGTGGAAATAAGTACATTTTTCCTGGAGCAAGTAACTGGACAGACTGACGGCCCATTTTCATTACACAAACCTACTGCAGTAGCATGTATTGACTTATAACTTTTGGTCATAATGATCGGTTTTCAGAGTGATAGCGAATTGGATAATTGACTTTTCCTGGCTCCTAGTGTCTGCCTTCGGTTTAGTTTATTTGCCAGTCATCTCAGCAAACTATGGTTGACTCTGTGCTGCTGCTTCTTTTTTTTTTTTTTTCTCAAATTTTTTTGGGTATTATCTGCCTGGCAGCATTGAACCTCCTTTTCCTGTACCATCTCTTCCTGTTTATCTTTATGCCTGTCTTTGATCTAATGTGGCCATCTGACCTGGATTCACAATGCTTCAAAATGTGTTTAATTATGATCACATGTTTGCAATCTCTTCTCTCCTCCTCCTCCTCCCCCTGCCTCCAGGATCGTGGTGGTTTCTGTCTTACTTACGAGGCTTCAATGACCCGTCTGTTCAGGGAGGGCCGGACAGAGACTGTGCGATCGTGCTCCAATGAGAGCTCTGCCTTCGTCAAAGCTCTAGTGAATGGAGAGGTACTGATAAATTCAATGATTAGGCTCCCTTTCAAGTCTTTAAAGTAAAAGCTCACACAAATGTTTCTACTCATGCTGACCCCAACGTCTGTCCAAACTTCAGTGTAAAATCATCATATTGTCACAAGTAAAATTCCAGTCTAATATCAGGTCAGACTCTTAAAATCATCTGTAGGGATGCTCCGGTCTGATACTGATAATGACTCAAATAGCTAGATCAGGTATCAGTGACAAGGGGGCCGATCTAGTCCATTCAACCACACATGTAATACACAATGTGTCAGCAGTGCGTCAGTAGACCCGACCATTTTGCTAGGAGAGCTAACAGCATTTTGTTTTACAAATTAAGGAAGCAATGTTTAAGCCAAGCCTGATGTTGCCTTACATATAAGATAACAATAATACAGCTTATTCATTTTTACACTGGAATCGGATCAGTACTTCGATCGAATACAGATTAGAATACCAATACCTGGGCATCAGCTGATACCCAGTGCATCCCTAATCATCAGTGTGTTTTGTGCTGTATTTCTGGTGAATTTAAAGTTGTTTTTGTTTGACAGGCAGAGGAGCAATGCAGTCATCTCTTCCGACTGGCTTCAGAGCGGCACCAGAACCTTTACCGTATGGCTATGACTGGAGCTGGAATTGATAGACACCTGTTCTGCCTGTACGTGGTCTCCAAATATTTGGGGGTGGAGTCACCCTTCCTCAAAGAGGTAAGCTTTTTGTTTTGTTCAATGTTACATTGCTATTTTAGTCTTTTCTGATCGTCTCCGTGACCTTAGACCTTTAGACCAAATGTATTAACTGAGTTTTATTTGTATTTAGATATAAACCATTTGACTTGATCTGGTGGTGGCCGTAGATGAAAGGTGAAGGCATGAAAGTGATCACTGACCTTACTGCTTTTTGGGGGAACAAATGTCATGTGTCAACCTCATGGTGGCACTAGAGGAAAAGTCAGAGGATCACCAAAGTCATTAGAATACATCTTCTGGGAACCATGAATGCCTGCACAAAATGTTGTGCCTATTCATCTAGTAGTTTAGATCTTTAACAAGATAAGAAAAGGACAGTGATATATTTGGCCCTTTAGTGAACCGTAGTTTTTTTGAAATGCTGTTGATGTATCAACAGTAAATGCAGGAAAATGGTGACTGCTTTTTTGAATGAGTCTGATTATGACAGCTGCAAACGTCTCGTATATCAGTCCCAAAGGGCATCTGTACGAGTTGGAAATCTGTCATAAGTAGACATTGTGAATCCATCAGTTCAAACAGTTTAAGAAAACTCTTTGACTGTTAATGCTGCTTGCAGGGCAGATGTGTCTTTACATGTCTGCGTCACTCCTTTCTCATTTTCTCTCACATTCCAGGTGTTATCGGAGCCATGGCGTCTCTCCACCAGTCAGACCCCAATTCAGCAGATGGAGCTGTTCGACCTGAAGAACCACCCCGATTTTATATCGTTGGGCGGCGGGTTCGGACCTGTGAGTGACACACACACATTGTCCTCTGGTTGCAACTGCAAATGTGAATGATGAGAACACACTGGGTGCATGCTTTCAGAAGCTGACTGTATGTTTACAAACACAAAGGTGGTGTGTGAGGTATTAACACTTTGATCCCTGTGGTCACTTCAGGTTGCTGATGATGGTTATGGGGTTTCATACATCATTGTGGGTGAGGATATGATCAACTTCCACGTGTCCTCCAAATACTCCTGCAATGACACTGTAAGTAAAGCCTTTGTTACTTTCATCAGTGTTTGGATAAGGTAAATTAAAACACGCATGACTTTACACTGACATATTTCACAATTTGTTTGTGTGTTAACTTTGTTGACTTTCACACACCACCCAGTGCAGACTAAGCTAACCACAAGCATCACTGGAATGCGCTAGACTTATTAAAACTGATGTTAATGCTTAAAATCAAGGAGATCTGAACACACATTAGCACTGTGTGTTTAGACATCCAGAAATAAAGACAGGTTGCGCCTCATCTCTTACTAAATCTATAACTTCCTGGTATGGGTCCGCTGACCACTTAATTTCCATGACATGCTGTGAAAACAGGCTAGGAAGCAAAAAATTGTGTGAGAAAGAAAAGACTTTCAATTAATTTGTAACTTCCACCTCATTCTAATTTTTCCCCTTCCCCATTATCATGTGGTTGTTTTACACCTCTGCCGTTTATGCTTCCATGTATAGCAGGATTCCATTGAAACATCAATTTACTATATAATATTTACAATTAAAGTTAACCGCGGTGCTTTACAAGGTAAAAGTACACCAAAAAAACTGTAAGCTTATGCCTCTTGGTTTATTGCAACTGCATGTCTGAACAGCTTTGTGGGGATTGCGCATTAACAATAATGACCACAGGGGATGTTGCTGATGAAATTAACCCTGGGCATCAGTGCAAACATGAGCAATGGAATATGGATAAATGCTACTACAAGTTTTGAAATGATGCATGTCACGCTGTTTGTAGGGACACGTGTCAATGCTTTCAGCTTGATTACTCACTCAGAAATGTCAGTGGATTATTACACTAACTTTTGTGATACTGCCTTGTGTTTTCACTGGACTGGCTGGTAAGAAGGAAGGCAGACAGTTCCGTTTGGTTTTCCAAATGTCAGGGTTGTTTCCATTTTAGTCTTTCCTAAACTACAAAGCACATGACAGGATAGGAGAAACTGTCTGTCTGTTTTCAGTTCCCCTTTCACAGTCTCATTTTTATTGTGGAATCTGCATTTGGGAATGGATTTCATGGAGCTAGACTGACAAATATTAGCTTATTGCAGATATATTTAAATCAAGAAGAAACAAGAAATTGCTGAACAGAAATGCTGAACTAGGTTTGAGATCATTTAGAAACGGAGTGCAAATTAATTTTTATGCTGTAAAATGAGCCACTACATATATTTCTTGCTCGTTTGGTTAAAATAAAGCCTAAATATAATGCATCTGTGTCAACTCTCCCCTCTTCCCCACCCTCTCTTTAACACTTGGTTTTGTCCTTTTCTAGGACTCCCACCGGTTTGGAGCTCAGATAATTAAAGCTCTCCAAGACATCATGACTCTCCTCTCTGCTGACACCAAAACCTCCTCCAAAGGCCCAGCCCAGCCTCAGGCCAAGAAGCTTCTCTGAATGTGGCAGAGAGCGTCCTCACCATGTGGACAAATATTCCCCCCAAGACAAGTACGCTGATTGCAGAAAAACCACTAAGACCCCATTAGCTAGAATCTGTAATGTTAAAAGCAGAACCCAGGAAGTGACTAAAAGCCCTCATTAAATGGATAAGTGAGTAAAATAGAATAGAGAAAAACAAGGCACACCGATGTCGTAAGGAGCCCGCTGTTGTTAGTCAGATCAGATCTGTCACCTCCTGCTCCTCGACAAAAAAACACACCTGCGTCAGAGCACTGCCACACCCTCACCTGAATGTTATGATTTGTATTCTTCCATAAGAAAGCATGGCATTTAAAAGCCTTTCTGCACTGGCAGGCACTAACAATTATCTGTGACAGCTATTGAGCAGTAATGCACATCATTTAATTTTGATTCAGCTAAGCGTGACGATACAAAATGCTTCCAATCCCTGCTTTGTATGAGAATATGAAACCCGTGATTGCCGTTTTTAAGAAAGAGGCAGAAGAAAGCTCATCAGAAGAAGGAAGCCCTTAGGAAAAAGGGAACTGTAAAATCACGCCATGCAGCTCTGCTCACTGACAGCTCATCACAACTTTGTTCAGGTTATTGAGTGCATGTTGTAGGTCATCTTTAAAAATCTAAAAAGTTTGAGGGGGGGAAAAAGGGAGGTAGAACAGAGCAGATAAGACTGTATCTGAAGGGAAACTGATACTTGGGGACCTCCAACCAAAATAGCCTGTTTTTGTTAATTTATTGTCAATAAGTCACAAATGGGACGAGACGTTTATAAGCTAAATAATCACCCGTCACCTGATCTCTGCACAAGCCACAAATCCATAGTTAACCACCTGATGTTTCAACCTTCAATGACGGGGAGTGTGTGTGCGTTACTGTTGTGTAAGTAACAATTCAGTGCATCCTACAGGACACTTGGTCTGTATACAACACCTACTAATACATGTGTTGAAAGTTGTCAGATTAGTACGCCTTTACATTGGTTTTTGCAGTGACCATAAAAAGTGCCCTGTGGAGTTTTTTCGTAAACCCAAACCTAAAGAAAAAGCCTAAAATTCGTGTTGAATGCACTTCCTTCCTCATAAAACTGCAAGTATTTTAAACTGTGCACTGTTCACAGCCCTGTTTACTGGCTTTCACTCTTCCTTTTTTCCAAATGTCTGCAGGCCTGTGCATCCACGCCTGCATGCGTGAGAAGAACTGAACTTATTGTGCACCTCCAAAGCAAAGCAACTGTTGGCATGCTTAGAACATGTCTTTGTCCTGTTCATGTATTTATTTTTGTGTTGTGCTCGAGGGTTTGGAGCAGTGGGGAATGCAGCAGTCAGATTCTTTACTTGGAAGTAGCAAAAAGCTAATATAAAAATTCTAAATATTACTAAAAGTACAAAGGCATACAAAGTAAAAGCACTCATATGCTCAGGTCAAAGTAATTGCACATCTGAATATCTTCTCAGATTAAAATTATGATTATTAACATAGAAGCAGGATTTAACATTGTAGCTGTTTTGAAAAATGTTCATCTTCAAATTAACCACTAACTGTAGCTCCATCTAGACAATTGTAGTCAAGTACAAACCTTTCCTCTGAAATGTAGTGGAGTCGAAACATCAAGTAGCAGAAAATACTCAAAGTAGCTCTAACTTGTACCTTGCATTCTCTGATGATGCAATGGTTTGAAACTTTAAGTGGCAACTGATGCCTTTGAACTGTTTCTGCAGGGTTTCTGGTTATGATTGAGGGCCACTTTCAGCTGGAAGGCTGCCAACTCTTCTGTGTTAGCATCAATGTGCTCAAACAAGAGCCATGGGAAGTTTCAGTCAGCGCATTACATTGAATTTAATTTGATGCCTTGTAATATAAGTTTAATTTCACTTGGAATTCACTGGTTCCATATGAATTCAGATTCACACGATTCAGCTGCATTTTTTTTATCGGATGGGTCCATAAAGGGTTTTATTTACAGGATTGATTTTAATGAGATGTAGCTGTTTTTAGGTGGAATGTTTATGATAATTGTATCCTTCAGCCTCTTCACACAGTTGTGTTTTACTGCCTCGTTTGACGTTTTGGAGATGGTCGGAAGTGGACTTTTGCTGTATGTCGCGTTGCCTTGTCGTTATCCTCACCACCGCTGAAGCAGTTGTTTGGGAGAGGGGATAAGAAGAAGCCTCTGCCAACTCTTTCAATTTCCTCTTGAATAAAGCACACTTATTCTGGTAAAGAGCAGGACATGCTATTTATTTCCCCTTCCCTCTATTTATAAATACTTGAATAAAGACTCCCCTGGGTTTAAAGCTAGGGCATTTAAGAAACATGTGCCTGAATTCAGGTATCATTCAGTAAAACGATTTCAATGCAATTTTTTTTAAATCAATGCAATTCTTATGGGAAACCTTTTTGTAACATTTCTTGTTGAGCTGTCTTCTGTGTGTCAACAATGTGCAATATGTGATGTTGTGCCAAAACAAAATCGGTTGAGTCATGCCTGTTTTCCCACACCTAAAGTAATCACAATCTTCATGGACTAATATGAATAACAGCATTGGTTAAAAAGTGTGTGGATGTCAACGCTGCACTACACCCTTGGCTCACGTTTTCTACCGGATCCAGAACTTTGTCTCGAGTGTTTGACCACAGACCACAGGGACTTCTATTTCAGGTTCAGGATCAAACATTTTGTGGCTCCTTTGCCAAGCCTTTTGGCTGCTGAGCAGAGCAGCCATTTCCCTCCCAAAAACACTCCACCACAAGACATGCAATTTCTGTAAAGAACAAACTCCCTTTTTATCTCCACTCCACTCAGCCTTTTTGTGTTTGTTTTTGTGTTTTTCTAAATGTTGGAAGCCCCAAAATGTGCTGCTTGGCCTTATGTCTTGTTTTCATTTCCTTTCACTGTACTACCGCACCATTAGTTCAACAAGTGCTCAAACACTTCCTGGCTTGACAAAAACAGAGTTGACCGTCTGATCGTCACAGATTGGTTATGAAAGACCTTAATATTTTATTGTGATCACAAAAAAGCTAGCTTATTACGTTTGTATTTGAAACATTTAACTCATGAAAACCAAAACATTAAACTCCATTTAAACTCCCCATGTCATTTATTGTAGTAATATGTGATATAATAACTGATGCAATCAGTGTCAGCAGCTTGGACAATTAGCCTCTCACAAAAGAGCAGCAATGCTGGCATTTAGTAGCAGGTTGACAGTTTGCTTTGTGTTGGGACTAAAGGTTAGATTGGCACGACCTTTTCTTATTTGATTGAGGGATACATTTTTATTGTTTTAATTCTGTGTAGCTTGTGTAACTGTTTTTACTCTTGGTTAATGGTCGGTGATGCGTCAACATTTTGAATTTGTACGTATTGTAGTTTTTAAATGATTTGGGATGATGATTTAACGCTTAATGAGATGCTTATTATTGCTGTGTTTTTGTCCTTAAATGTATTTTTTTTGTTTTTATGTCAATTGTGGACTTTGTGAAGAAGGCCTTTTACAGATGGTGTTGGCCTGTTATGTGAAATAAAATACTTACTGATGCTACATTTGCATTTGCTCTGTTCTTCATCTGAATTTATTGGTCACATAGCTGTCGAGCAAAAACCAAACATGACTATTTGTGTCATAATATTGGCATATTATTTCATAGTTTTAGTAACATAACTTTGACTGTTAAATAAATTTATTATTTTTTAGATTTAATATGTAACTTTTTTCTTTAGTTTGGGCTTCAATACAACACTACGCATCACTTCCATGGATGTGAAACAAACACCTTGAATCGACTAACTGCACATTCACAATTACGCACAACGTAATTGACTGGACGACCGAATGCAATAGCAAATGTAGCCATAATTTAGGTATAAACACTGATGTAATACAGACAGTGGAGAAGTGGTGCTGCAGGAATGCAGTGAGAACAGGGTGTGCACAAGGGCAGACAAGTTACCGGAGCAGCAGCCCATTTGCCCACTGGAAGGGACGTTTTTGCTCGTTGAGTATAAGAAAAGAACCAAATGTTCTTATGGTCGATTTCCTTTGTGAAACTTTGAGGGGGATGTGCATAATTTGAAGCATGAACTTCTGCGTAGGTTGTGTGTGAGTGGGACTTGATGGTAGAAAAACTCACACAAGTACTCCTTAATGAATTATGATGCCTTGTTGTTCTAGCCACGGTATTGTTGGGGCTAATGTTCTGATACCGCCAAACCTTTAACGATTCCTTAAGATCTTTTTCTCTTAGTTGTACAGGTGCATCTCTTCAATTAAAATCATGAAAATGTTTTTTCTCATCACATGTAAAGATAAAGATTTCAGGCTTTCTTTTGTTTAATGGTGAATCATCGATTTTCGCCACCACGCCATGGACACGCAGTTTGATGAAAACACAGCATTCATTTTCATAGTCAACGCCTTTAGACTGCACAGGGAAAAAGTCTGAAGTGGATCGGATTCATTCTGTAGGAGTGCGTTAAAGTACAGAGCTTGTAAGTGGCCAAAAAAAGACCATTAAATTCAAAATTGCCTTCTTCCTGTTGGGCATTGCTTCAAGAGGCTTTTTTTGTAGGTCTGTCTGCACATAAGGAAACCAGATGTGCGGGAAAAAATTGGGACAATCCCGATTTTGGAGCAGTTGTCTCGACTCCTTTTGACTAACTTGACTAAACCTGAGTTTTGATTAGATATATCCTAATAAAACATTTAAATTGCCTGTTGATCGTTCGTAAACATTTTCTTGGTGTTGCCCAAAGATGGGCACTGTTCTGCTCTCCAGCAGGGACTGCAAGGTATCGTGTGTCACCAGAGTTGTTATAGCCATAAAGTTAACAAAGGTGCTCTTTCCCCCTTTTTGTTGTCTAGTGTAGATGAAGATACTGGAAGTTACAGTCGCAAGAACGGGAATAGTAGCTGCAGACAGCACCAGAGAAGGAGAGGCCTGACAGAAACTGGCATCGCACTGATGAAATTAATTAAACGAGGCTAAATAAATTGTATGTAATGGATCCCGATTTGCACACTATTACATACACAAGTCATTCTATTTTTTTGTTGACTTCATGAGCGTTGAGTTTTGATGTTGGTTTAACTGTCTCATTGACACTGAATGTGTAATGCAGCCAACTGGAGGCCACTCCCACCCCCAACTCACCATGTCCCTAATTTCCCCGGTTCTCATCTGGTCACCCTCTCTGCAAATGATTTATCTGCCACAAAACTTTAGTACATTTCGGGGGGGAAACACGGTGGCTGCACTTTAGGAGGCACTAGCCAGCCATCTTGCCACGTCCATGCACGAAAACATATGAAACGTAAATTTCCACGGGACTTCAGTTTTTTGCAAAGTTTATATATTTATTTATTTTTGATCATGTTTAAGCTGCCAAAAATGCCCTAATTTGCAGAAAGAAAGTAATAAAGAAAGAATTTTTTTGGCTGCTGTCAGTGGGTTGGGGGAGTTAGAAGGTCACAGAATGCTTGGAAAACCCACAGAGTCTGGAGCCCACTGGACAACTAAAGTGTCATCACAAACAAAGCACTATTTATTTACTATGATTGATTTAATAGTTTAAGGGGGGAGCCCCGTAGAAACCACTGACCCCACCGCCCTCTTTTTTTTATTTTTAATAGGTACCCTGTCTCAGTAGGTGAGAGCAACAGCTTTTCTCTGCCTAATAAGTCTTGCAATAATCTGACAAGCAGCCAGTCAACAGATCAAATATTCACATTTCCCTGTGATCACCCAGATGAAGGTTAGTTTTGAAGTAACAAACAGTTTAATGTTTAACAGTTTGCTAATGACTCATAAGGCTTATCGTAGGCCTATCCTAATTTAGATTAGGATAGTACCTTGTTTTGAATAGCTTTTGAGGAATCAATACCACTTAATGGAATTTAAACTAAGAAGCTGCAAAACATCAGTTATGTTTTTTAAGTGATGACATAATCATAAGACAGTTTTCATGGTAGCGAGAGTTTCAGGAGTACAGCGTAGGCAACAAACTTACACCACCACTCCCTTCCCTCTTCTCTTCTTTGTCTTCCTTTCTCTCACTCATGTCTTCCTCAGAGTTTGCGTGGAGGGGCCACACATTCTCCCGTCAAGTTTGTTTTTTTTTAGATCAAAACCAAGCTAGAAGCTTCCGGCCAGAGAACTGAGGTGAATGCCCAAGTCCCATAAACCTGCATTCTGTTGAACGGCCACAAGGGGGCAACTCTCCCAGTTGCAAAAAGAAGTCCAGTTCTATTAGAAATAATGGTAAAATGTGGCTAAGTAAACACTTTCCTAATGAGATTATGGTCTCAGTCACTAGTTTCATGTTTTCTTCAATACAACATGATGTTCATGTAGTAAATTATGGTCCCATTTAGAGGAAAATAGACCATAAAGGTGAGATTATCTGTGATTGACAAGTCGTTACCCACGGCACTGTATCATTTTAGCCAGCGCCATTGAAAAAGCTTATTAGGAGTCGGCTGTTCACTTTCTCTGAGGGCTGTTTCACAAGATAACTGTTTAAACAGGGATTTTCCAGATAGCCTGACTGAATTTAGCTGTGACTCGGTTTCATGAAAGAAGTGGCACATAAATTACCATGGCGATTTCTTCTGTTTAGCTAGCCTGCTCCAGACCAGGCTAACAACCCGGCTTAGTTAATCTTGGCCTTATCTGTTCAGTCAGCGATCACACTGATCAGAAACCAAATATTTTTTTCAATTATTCCATGTTCTTATGTATGTGCTTTGCATATGTTTCATTAGCCTGCATTAAAATTCCACAGGTAGCCTACAATTGGCAATATGGTAGCACATAGTTTGTGGTTATGAGGTTTCCTAATGGGAGAGGAAGACACGTGCACGATACTTTACACACAGTGATCAAGAGCGAGGAGATTTATGTGGAATAAAAGCACATAAAGTAAAAAATAAATAATCATAAAATAAAAAGTAGGAAGAAAACAGTGGAACAGTGGAAGAAAACGTGGGGCAGATAAAAGTGGACCGACTGAATGTGTGAGTTGCTAAAAATAATACTGCTCTTAAGTGAAACTGACATAATTAGCCTATATTTTGCCTTAAAAGTGAGCAGTGGACGTTAATATGTCACTCAAGAAATATATTTCACACATTATTTAGTGTGTATATATATATTTATATATATATACACACCCTGTTAGATTTAGTTGTATACTCCCAAATTGTAGTCCCACTTCACTGCTTCACTGGACCAATAAGTATATTGTGCACTGTTTATTCATTAAACAACAGGGAGAGGACATTTCTCCCTGGGATCTCTTATCTGCTGCGAGCTTGGGAGAGGAAACAATGATTAATACATTGTGGTGTGGTCATGCTTACAGTGTGCATTGCATTGATCACTTCTCTTTTTAGTTGCTGGATTTCCAACTTCCTCAGTGCCTCTTTTTATCTCCGTATCTAGGTCCAAGTCCTGACACTCTTTTGGTGGTATTTTATTTTGTTAATTTCTTCAAATGTGTGCAGTTCAGACATCTGACAGTTTGTAAAAACACATCAATTAGCACAGCAGGAACTGTGCACCAAGCTAAAAGAACAAGCTGCTAATTACTGCACTATATTTTATAATATGTTTTATAATTAACAAATAACGTTATAATTATGACAGTTTCAGTTAAGAGCAGTGATACTTTTAGCTAATTACTCATTCTGTCGGTCCTCCTTTGTTTGCACGCCTTTTCTTGCTGTTTTAATGCTGCTGCCGTGTTTCTTTCTAGCTTGTTTTTAATATCGTGCATTTTTTCATCAAAAACCATTTCATTTGCTTTACACTCACTGTGTGTAAAGTATGCTGCACACGTCTTTTCCATTTCAGCTTCAATAAATCCGTGATCAAACGTGTGGTCTCTTAGGAAAGCTGTTGACGCGCATTTATCTGAATTCATGGCTGAATCCATGTGGCAATACACATGGCTTGACATACTACTGAGCCTGGTTTGGTCTGTAATACGTTGCAAATGAGGCCCCAGAGCTGTTTCTCTTGGTTCTTGTGTTCTTGTAAACTTTATGAACTACCAATCAGGTCTGAACCCCTGAAACAACAAAGCTTAACAGGAACTGTTAAACTGGTCTCAAGGAATTTTCTGTTCTGATCTCAACAAGTCTGCAAATTACTGAGCGATTTCATCATGTAGACTTCTCACAAAGCATTTTAAACAACAGAATACAAAACACCAAACTATTCTGATTCAAAATATTAAGCCATATATAGAAAATTTTGTGTTTGAGATAAGCAGCCTATTTTAAATAGGCCTACATGTATCATAAATACCGCCCATCTTAAAGAAACTAAAATGACGTGTTATTTCCTTCGATCTCCTCCACTCTGTTTCAGTACTATAGATAGTACTGCACCTACACACCCACCCCCTAACTCACCCAGACTCATTTAACCCTTTCACATCACAAACACTTGCTTAGCTGTGGTTCTTACAGTAGACCTAGTTATTTGCCAAAATATTCCGACGCCAAAAAACATTAAAGCACTCAGGCCTATAGAGAGCCACAAGTCACTCGCTTCTGCTGCCGGCCCATGGGACCTTATTTTGGAAAAAATGTGTACGGTAGTCAATGGTGAGAGACAACTTATTTTTTGATCCTGTTTGAAATGTGCTCTGAATTACACATATGATGGTCAATTTGAAATATACATCTCAAAGCATTATTTGATGCAAAAGGTACCCTTGTACCCTTGGTGTTTGAGACGCCCTTTCTAGACCGGAGGCGCTAGTAGCTAGCTAGGTAGCTAGCTATGTTAGTATAAAAGGCGTTGACAGCTTCCCAAAGCCGCTTACCCTTACCCTAACCATCACATGGGTGTGTACCTAAACCAAAGTCAGCGACTGTATGCATGTCGACCGGCTAACCCTAGGGTTAGTCTCCTTTGTGTTGCTACTTTGTTATATTGTTGTCGGTATTAGAAATTAAAAATGTAGGCCTACTGTTGAATAAGGTTTTTCATATCTTGAGTATATTCCTATTACATCATAGTGAACAGTTTAATATCCAGTGATTATAAAACATTTTGTTATGTTGATTTGAAAGATTTAGTTGGATCATTTTGCATTTGCAGTAACCTTCTTTGACAGAACCATTTTTGCGCATGTGCAGAACAGATCAGGCAGGCAGTACAGATTTGGCACTGACAGTGACAAAGGTGGTAACGGTGCAACACCAAAATCTGTGACCTATCAGATTCTGTGACTAAACCCAAACGAAGATGTTTTCCTGACCATAACCAAGTACTTTTGCTGCCTAAACCCAACCAAGTACCTTTAGTAGGCTGCCTAAACTTAACCAAACTGCAACCGCTTCACATCATCAACAAAGCCTCTGGGGCTTAACTTCCCATTTGGGTCACAGAAACTGATTCAACAGATTAAGCCCTGGGGAAGTGTAAAATCCCTGAGACCCCACGCCGAGAAATTGTTTTTATCTCTATAATAACGCCCTAATGCTATTAGCGGTCTGATGAACTTGATTATTCTTAATTATTCCTGCTTATGGTTCAGAGAACTTATCGTGCACCCTGTGGGCCAACACAGTGTTAAATGATTAACTAAGCACAAACACCGTGATGAGTGGTGGAGATTGCTCAACCACGCAGATGGCCGATAAGCTTCCGATTGGGCCGTTCCGGCAAGAAAGTTGAGTGTAAACTTGACCTGTAGGCTATATTTCTTGTGGTGGGCATGAAGTCACAACAAAGTCATAAAGTCAACAACTTTCCACACGGTCTCTGCGGAGGAGAGAGCGCACGCTGTTTAGGTCCACACGGCACCCAGCCCCTCATCTGGAAACTCCGGGGATGATATCACCGAGGAGCAAGAGGAGGGGAGAGAGAGAGCCTGCTTGTGAAAAGGTGGAAAGTGAAAGTAAGTCTGCTATAATGTGAAGAGGCTACCGCACCCTCGGATCACTGCAGACCAACAGCCAGCCAGAACTACAGCACGGTAGGCTTCATATTAACACTTACATTTTATTCCTGCATGCTTCTGAGACAAATCTAACAGGGCCCTTTAGGACTATTTCGACAAGGGGGATCATGACAAGGTTAGACCTAAAGTGAAGACTGAAGAGACTAGGCTACTAATGCTTTGTGACTGCAGTGATTTATCTTGTGCATGGAGGTCAGCTGGGTGGAGGGTTTCCCAGGTCTGCAAACCTGTATGCGGTGTGATCAAGTATGCAGGACAAGACTGGACTGCATACGTTTGGCCGATATCTCGGAGCTTTGTCCCACAGTGAGCACCAGAGTGCGCTCTGCGTCCAGGGTAAAGCCTGTGAGGACAGGGCGCATGGCAGAGGTTTGCTGTCAGGAATGTGCGCCTGGACGCCTCACCACTTGATTAGTGTACGTGTAGACACCTAAACAACTTTGTTTGGAACAGAGAAAGGGAAGAAAGCCCCGTAGGCACACTTCTCCCGCGTGTAGGATTGATATGGTAAAGTCTTTAATCACAATCATGCTCAGCCATTAGAGCTCTTACAGCCTATAGCATGCTGTTTCAACTTGGAACAATGTTGTATTATTATTTTCTTTGTTTCCTTTGTACCTTCTTTCCTGAAATAGCCTTTTCATGATTTTTTAATACCTTTTAAGGGTAATTTTTATTAATCCAATCTTTATATTTTATGAATTTACGTTGTAAACGTGTATTTACTTAGTTATTTATTTACACCTATAGTTATTTATTTTTGATTGACCACTCATTTGAATCTAAAATCGAATCGTCATTGATGACTAGTCTGAGTTTCTTTTCAAGAATTCTCTGGTTCCTGCTTCTTATATGTGAGGACTTGGTGCTTTTCTCTGATCATATCACTGTAAGCTGAATAGGGGAAACCGGGGATGGTTGTAACATGGGGAGAGTTGTAACAACACCAATTCCACCAAATAGAGATCAGATAGGAGTTCCTCCCCGATCAGGCATGGTGGTTATCAAGTCTGGAAAGAAGTGCATTCAGAATATATAGAGAAAAAAAGTGATTTTGAGGTAAGAAAGTAAAGTTTTTAACCAAGACCATTTTCTGTTTAGTATCTATACTATTGCAGATAGAATTGTTTGACTTATATTAGATTGAAATGTAGTTTCTTAGGCAACACCTGATGTATATTTTCCTTTCTAATTTCAAACCACTAGGGAATACAGCTAGCCAAACATTGGCTGACAGGGGTGGGGTGGGTTGTAACACTTATTTAAAAAGTGTTACCATCCACGATACATAAAACTAGGATCTTTCTTGATGTTAATATTTTCCAGATGGCCCTATGCAGTCTGGGCCCACCAAACCCCGCACTCCAGGGTTTCCAGCATTCATTTGTCAGCACTGTGAACAGTACTTCCCATTCACATGTTGTACACATGTTGGCGTGTGTATTGTCACTCGATCTTTTCCATACTCGGTCTCCGCCGGTGAAGAGGTTAGAAAAGCGTATGGGCAGCTTGTGAGAAGTGTGAAAAGTGCTGGTATACGTACCGGTGAATACTGGGCCCTTTCAAGCACTTATTGTGAGTCTGAATAAGAATATAAATGTAAATGCTCCGTATTTGTATAGCACCTTTCTAGTCTTTTCGACCACTCAAAGTGCTTTTACACTACATCTGCATTCACCAGTCACACACATTCATACACTGGCGGAACCCGCTCTACCTTCTACCTCCTGAGCCACAGCCATCCACACACTGACACACACACACACACGCATCTCTTTTTAGTTAGACCTAAGGATGTATAGAGACGTTCTTTAATTAATTACATTGTAGTAGTATTTATTAAGTATACTTTTAAGTAAGTTTATTCTATAGATAAATTTACATACACATACTGTACATGCGTGAGTCATCAGACAGTCTGTTACAGCAAGAGAGAAACATTGTTCTTTTATATAACTACCTGTTTTGGAAGCATATCATATAGTGTGGCATCTATTTTTGATTCTTTTGTGTGATTGTTACAACCTACCCCGCTATTGGGGTAGGTTGTAACAAGGGAACACATTGTATTTGACATCAGCTCATGAGGTCTGTGACATTCTTGTAGAGGATTGAATTGGTGCCAGTTGTTGTGAAGAAATGTGGGTACTAAAAATTTGAGAACTGTAGCTAAACAATTCAGTGAGTTATAGATACTGAAGCAAAAAGTATTACAACCATACTCCCCTTTGGGTTTTGGACTACTGCCAAAAATGGGCCATTTGAAGATGTGACCTCTGTCTTGGGGAAGTCAAGAAAACATTAATCAAGAATATAATCATCATATTAATAAATTGTGAAATTAATGAATAGGCTACATGCTGCCTTGAATTTGTTTTTGAAACACTCACAAAGTAAACATCAGTCATTTTAAATTATTAACTATCAAACAATGAATTTCACACAAATTCTAAAACATTATTGGGGTGTATTTAAATTACAATAGGGGTGGTGATGGTGCAGTGGATAAGACACAGAGGGTGTTGATGGCGCATAGATAAGATGCTTGCCATCCACCATTGTGTCCCTGAGCAAGACACTTAACCCCTCGTTGCTCTAGAGGTGTGTGACCTCTGACCTATATAGCAATTGTAAGTTGCTTTGGATAAAAGCGTCAGCTAAAAGAGTAAATGTAGGACTGGATTCAATCCTTTGGATAAAAGCGATGAAAGTAACTGTGTTGTGGTAGTAGTGCCCAAGAAACACGCAGTAGGCCTGTAACCTAATCATAGTTTAGACTCGTCTGTGGCTGTGATACAAGGGCAATTTTAAACCATGCTGTAACACCCCTAAATTTCATCTGAAAATAATTTATTATTATTTTCTGAAAATTATTATTTTTCGTTCTCGACAACGATTTTGCGAATTTTGGCTCAATAGCGCCAATCAAAGGGCGAGTTTAATCCCTAATCCAAAACCTTTTGTACCGGTTTGCTACGTTTTGTGTGAGAAGTGCTGAAAAAACCGGTCGGCACAAGAATCAGCTGAATGCTCGAAATGAACCACTTCCTTGGAGGAAAGGTTGCTGTGGCACGTGCAGATGAGGCAGGACCTTTGTATATACAGTCTATGGGCAGGACCAGCAGCAGAAGGAAGGGACGATTAGCAATGCAGTTATTATATATGCTACTAAAATTATGTATTTATATATAGGCATAAATATCATATATGTTATAAACAACAGTTTGCACACAAAGACAATATCCTTCTGTAAGCAGGGAATCTCTGTATGTCTGTATGTATATTAGCTGTTAAAGTCAGTGGAGGTGATTCAGAGAGACAGGGTGAGGATGACCACAGTCATGTTGATGAGGAGGGAGAGAAGGAAAAGGAGGAGCAGCAGAAGGTGCAGCAGGAGCTGCAGGAGGAGGCCAATGGGACCAGAAAAAACAGTGACAGGTACTGAGGCAGTGTGCAGGGCTGGGTTTAGGCAATAACATTATGCATATGTAGAACTAGAAAATGGACTATTGTTAATCATATTTATTACCGATGTTCTTCTCATGCATATGTAGCTGTACAATCAGCAGAGGCAGAGTCCAGCACAGGGCAAGATGATCCAGATTTAGGCCTTATCAGAGCTGAAGATGAGGGATTTGATTTTTATGCCAACACACACACACACACTGCTCTATTTTATGTGACTGTGTTGTAGTTTTTAATTAGTTATGGAAATTAGTTATCTAAAATGCAACATGACAAACTATAGGCTAATATGTACTGATTTCAGCACCAGGAGCTATCCAATGCATTAAACAGCCCGGTGCATGGTGAACAGTTTGTAGACATGTGCTTGTCATCTGAATTGTAATGGGCTTTACTTTTTTCTTCTAATATATGCGTTAGACTTCTGATACATGCCTAGGTTGGTAATTATTTTCAAAAAAACATGGTAGCCTTCTAAATAAAATCATATTATGAATCATAAATTATATCAAAAATAAAACAATATCAAACATTTTATTCTCTTACTGGATAAAGGCATAGCCTGAAGCCAAAGGTTATTGCACTTTTATAGCACCCTTGCTCTACCCAAAGTAGCAGCGAAACTTAACAAAAGAAATAGATATGATTTTGAACACACCAACAATAAAACAGAAACAGATAAACAAACACTGATCATAGTTATCAGTCATTTCTCAGTGTTGGTTTCATATTTTGTGTCTTTCAAATAAAAAGTATTTTAATATTTTCTTAAACTTACACACATTACTACATTATTTTAGTACATTTTTTACAACTATACCATGATTTAACCCCTTTAACTTCAACACATCTATTTTTCACATTTGTCCCCTCATGGAAACTGCTCTCCTAGAAAACTATAAGAACTGGATAGTGTTCTATAGGAAGTTTGTAGTTTTCTATAGTATTTTTTTACCAGCTATGGTATTACTATAGTTTTTTTTTACTAGAGCTATTTTAGAAGCCCTATAATATCTCTATAGTAATACTATGGATCTAGATCTTTGTAGTATTCCTATTTTATTTTAAATAGTATTACTATAGAATAGTGTTTCTGTAGTAAACACACTATAGAACTTTCTTATAGTAATAATATGATAATGTTAAATAAATGTATAATATTTAACCAGGATAACATATATCTACTAGTTATTAACAACAAATTACAACATGTAATGTTTTACAGTGTTACAATGTAACAGCAGCCAGCAAACCTACATATCAATATACAGCCACAGCACCTACCCAACCAACAGGAACTAGTGGTTGAGAGCTGAAGGAGATGAAGAGGGAGAGACAGCGCCTGGACGAGAGAGAGAGATGTGACCCACGTCCAGCTATGACAGTCTGACAGTCTCTGTTAACAGATCCAGTCTGCAAACCACAGATAAACCACAGAACTGTAGAACATGGGATTCATGATGAAAGTACGTTTTTATATCATGGCAATTATTATCAGTTGATGGTTTTTATATTGCCTCGTTTTACGGGTGCTGAGGGGGTTGCAGCACCACTTCCTGTGTCCGTGTCTCTACACATTGAGTGAAATAGGTTGTTTCTTTTGGAAGTGGGTGATTTATTCAGCCCTTGCGTCTCAGCCGGGACCATCTCAGTTGAAACTGTTGAAACGTACCTGAGGCTGCCACTGATTACAAGTAGCCTATTATGTAAGTTTATGCACTCGTTTGTGTGGTATCCCAGCTGAGGTGAGGAGAGGTGAAGTGTGTTTTGTCCTGTTGTTCTCATGTAGCGACATGGCAGAGTCCTCAGCGTGTGCTGTTGTTTTTGGCAAAGGATACACTAAAGCGGAAATGCAGTTGATTAATGGTGAATAAAAGGGTCTGTGATGATTAGGTTCTGTTTGCTATGTATGATGTGTGATGTTTGAAATCATCATACAGCCTGTGTGTTTTGAAACCAGCTGTTATTTGTCTCTTTCTCTCTTTGTCTCACGCAGACACACTCACACAAACAGTTTCTTTTGTAAAATCTTAGCTTTGTACTTGCTTTTGTATGATTTACCCAAAACTATTTGGTGGTATTTTCCCCTGTGCGATTTTCAAATACATTTTATAATTAGTTTTAAGTATTACACATTGACACTTGACACACACATAAGAAGTGACTCCTAATAAAAACTAAGAGACTCGTGGTTCTTAAGCAGGAGGGACAACTCGGAAACACGGCTACTGAACTTTGGAACTCAGCTTGCATTAGGTCTCTTATGTATGGTGGTGCTCTAAAGGTGGGTTTAGACTGGGCTGAATTGTTTAGCCATTTTTTGTGTGAATTTTAGCACTGGATATTTACAAAGCAAAGTAGATGAGCTTGCTGCAAACTCGTTTTTGATACAAAAGATGTACACATTACGTGGACTGATCATTCAACATCTATCAACATCTTGGAATGTTATACGTGTTAAAGAAGCCATTTGTACACATTCATGAGAAAGGGCCTGTGACTGTGATGGGTCCCTATCTCAAAGCACTGTCCAGAAAAAAAGCTCCACTTCCTCCCCCTCTCTCGCCATCCTGGAGGAGGATATCAGCAGACTGCTCAGTAGGCAGAAACCCCACAGAGCAGCTGGGCCAGACTGTCTCCCGTGGAATTTTTAACACCTTACTGGAGACATGGCATGTGCCAGCCTGCTTCAAAGCCTCCACCATCATCCCTGTCCCAAAAAGTATTTTAGCACCTTGTGTTGTCCCACCTTAAATCCATCACAGACCCACTCCTGGACCCCCTGCAGTTCGCCTACAGCGCCAACTGGTCTGTAGACAATGCAGTAAACATGGCCCTTGACTTCGTCCTCCAGCACCTGGACTCCCCAGGAACCTACGCCAGGATCCTGTTTGTGGATTTCAGCTCTGCTTTTAACACTATCATCCCAGCCCTGCTGCAGGACAAGCCTTCTCAGCTGAACGTGCCTGACTCCACCTGCAGGTGGATCACTGCCTTCCTGACGGACAGGAAGCAGCACATGAAGCTGGGAAAACATGTCTCTGATTCCAGGACCATCAGCACCGGTTCCCCTCAAGGCTGCGTTCTTTCCCCCCTTCTCTTCTCCCTGTACACCAACAGCTGCACCTCCAGTCACCAGTCTGTCAAGCTCCTGAAGTTTGCGGACGACCCCACCCTCATTGGGTGGGGATGACTCCGCCTACAGGTGGGAGATCGACCAGATTGCAGCCAGAACTAATTAGAGCTCAACGTTTGGAAGACAGTGGAGATGGTTGTGGATTGTAGAAAGAGCCCACCCCCTGAGATCAGGCTTTATTCAGTCAGTCAGATCAGACATTCATGGAATCTTGCGAAGTGTATTTGTTTGTGTGTGAGAGATCCAAACCTTCCTCTATAATGTGCCTTTGCCCTGTGCTCTGCTACTTCTTCCCTAGTGTGAGTCTGGGCATTCACCGTGGCAGCATGACATCATGGTGGTATGAGACCAACTGGCTTCTACTGGTAAGTGTATAGCCTACACACCTAATGAATTATAATCCAAAATACTGAGATCAAGAGCACACAGGTCATTGAAATCAAGGGCGGATCCAGATTATTTTCAAATGGGGGCCTCAGTTAAATCATGTTTTTGTTGTTACATTTATTTGCTTGCGCGCTGCTCAGACTGCACCCAACTAACAGAAACATTCTAAATCTGTCGAGTGCTTGATCCGGGGTGTTGATAGAGCAAGTCTCTGATGCGGGCACAGCAGTCTCAGATTTCACTTTGCTTGGCCAACCTGAGTCTAATTTTTGTCCAGACCAGACATTAGCCAAGAGCCAACATATTATAATATTTTATATAATGCTCAGCTCTGCACTGTAAACATCATAGTGTTCTGTAGTCTTAAGAACAATAAGCAAATGAAAACCTTAAACAAAATGAATTAAAGAGCCTTAATTTGCGACAAGGCAATGATAAAGCAACATTAGTTAAGTTAGATGGAGCTTCTCCCTAGTTAGCTAGTTTGTCAATGCATATGAAATACAGAACATTTTCCAAAATAATTTAAACTGTAATTTGCAAAACACTGTTGTGGCTCATGCATAGTGAATGCAATTCTTAACATATATTGTTCTTACCTCAAAGGTGAACTGTCTCCTTCAATGACATTTCTGTCCCAATTCAAAGGCTTGTGTGTTCTCTGCAATTGACATCACAATAACCAATAAAAATTGTGTGTGTGGGGGGGGGGGCTTAATATATTCACACTATTTAAAAGCGGACCATTAATTCTTTTTTTATTCTAATGTTGGTGTGCTAGGTGTTCCTGAGCACAATTGACCTTTCAAAGGAGGGTTGCCTGGACTATGTAGAAGTGGATAAAGCATGGGTAGGCTTTATATTAATATTTGTTTCTTTCCGTGGTCACTTCTTGATTTCACGGCCTGTAAATCTTTCCAAACAGGTTGCAAATGTTTTTTAAAGACTCGGGCACTGTAGTTCTTAGCGAAAGTTAATCAAACAGGGGTAAATATTGTATTTCTTGGGGGACTAACTTCAAGGAAAACTGGTGACTGGTGACTTTCTGTAATTCTCTATTGACACCTGGTAAATGTTTTGATAATCTTTCTATGGCATTGTCCATTATCATTGGCAACTTAACTAATAATAAATAGGAGATTAACATCTGTCTACTTTTCTGTTCCTCTTTAAAAGCAAAAAAATCAGCCAAACGTCACACTCTTAGCAACGATGAATTCCAAGGTAACTTCACGAAACAGTGAGAAAAAAATTGTCTGTTGGGACGTAAATGTATGTGAATGCATATTGTTCAGTAGGCACTGGACTGAAATGCTTTTGATACATGTGTGTTCTTCCCAATGCAGGACATAATTGAATGTTCTGTACAGAAAATGTGCTTCAACAATGTTATCAAAACATGTGACATACTGACTTGCTTAAACAGACCAGTGAGTATACAATACAAACTTTTTACTGTCATTGTCTTTAAGTTGGCACTATGTTTGATTTTGTTTTTTTGATAGTGAGATCTGTGAATGTTTCACTTTTCTTCCCTTGTTAAACTGAACGCCAAGCAGATAAATTATTGTATCTGATAAACCTGTTGTTTCTTTTTCCACCACAGGATTTTAATGGAACGATAAAGAATGAAAACTGTGTAGAGACAAATGACACTATCGATATCCATCACTTCAACTGCTTGCTGGCCAAAGCTATAGATTCCAATTACACTCTTAAAGGTATACCTCATTCACCTCATTCATTCTCTTACAATCAGTGTTGGCTGGTTTACCTGAGTGGGGTTGGGGATTTCTGCTTACATTACCAAAGCTGAATACTAAAACTATTGTTACAATTTTAATGTTCAAAATTTGATTTTCTTTCTTTTCTTGCATCACAGGCTGCGAATATGGTGAGTACACTAGCAGTGCTGGGAGTGTTCATGTGTGTGGTGTGTGATGCATGTGTGAAAAGTATTTTTTGTGTCTGAACTTGCTGTTGTTGTGTGCCTGAGTGGTCCTGTGAGTGCTGGCATCAAATCACACATTCAGCTTTGTTCTTGTGTATCAAGTATTTATTTTTATTGAACATTATAATAAGTTGTCTTTTATAATTTATTACCTCCATTAATGTAATATTGATCTTCTCTTTTTTTAGAAACCGTATGCAAGCTCTATCTAGAAACACCGTCAACTGGTAGGTCACACCTTTTATTTAGAAGTGCTTCACTAGTGCATGTTGATGCAGTGCATTTGAATCCCAGAAATCATCTTTGCTGTTGATTGCAGGCCACCGCTCCACCCAGCTACAAATTCCTAATGTCTGTTCACTCAGAGAACCATAGGTACATAATGTAACCTGTGGTAATTATAGCTTCTGCAGTTTTGGACTGCTTCTGACCACATTTTGACCTCATCATTTGTGTCTGCTTAGTCTTTGTTTTGATTGTTTAATTCATTGCCAATTAATTCTCAAATTGAATGTAAAACTACACAGGGCTAGTGTAACTGGCAAAAAAGGAAAATGCAGTGAGCTCTGTGGTGTTGGAAGTCTTCTTTAGTGTCTATTTTGATTTTATATTTTTCTCTGTCAACAGAGAGCATATTTGCATACTTAGTTATTCGTGTGAGCTGTGCTATACTTTAAACTATTTGAAGATACATAAGCATATATAATATATACAGTATATACCATAAATAAAAACTTAGTTTTGCTAGTTTGCTAGCAGTTCTGTGAGGCTGTACGTAGGCAGAGAGTTACTTTAAGCCAAATGTTTACATCAGCATACCCAAAACAGCAATGCTAACATGCTATTGCTGAGCAGGTATAATTTTTACCATGTTTACCATCTTTGTTTTGAGTGTTAGCAAGTGCTGCAAACAAATATACCTTTTTCTTTGTCATTTTGGAATTAGTTTTATGGAGGAAAACCAGCTAAATGTACACGTTAACAACATAACAGTCCTCCTTGCCATTTCGGCATTTTGTCAATATCACAGCTGGACTCAGGCAGTTGAGTGAAGAAGGTTTTACTTTGCAAGTTCGGTTCATGGAAAGTCAGTCAGTAGCAAAAGAATTCAAGGCAGAGTCAGGGTACACAGAAAAATGGTCTTATCTAACTATCACTTGGAAATTTACAGTGCTGGAACAGTTAATATACAAGACAAGATGAACTGACAGATTAAATATACTAGTGAAGAGGGGATATTGAGACACAGGTACAGGAAACCACGAAATGAATGAGAACAAACAGGGGAGAGTATAATGAGGGAGGAAATACTAAAATGAGATAAAACTAGAAACAAGAAATAACATTCCAGAGATAGGATGTAACTCTTAACACACCCACTAACTTATTTAAAAACAAGTGTAGACAAACAGGATATTAAGATAATTTTATTTTTGGCAAAATAACTAAATATCATTTTCAATAACTGAAAAAAATCGTTTAAATGCTACTTTTAATTTGACTAAGTCTACTTAGTAATTCCATATGTCTGCTTCTTCTTAATGATTTAGTAAAACATGTATTGCTCTTAGTACATACAACACCCATAAGATTTTATTACTAACTGACTGCCTGCATTTATAGATCAAACACCATTAGCAACAACATCAGCAACAGTGCCAACAACATCAAGAAAATTGGCAGCAACATCAACACCACTGGCAACAACATTAACAGTGTCAACAACATTAGCAACAACATCAGCAACAGTGCCAACAACATCAAGAAAATTGGCAGCAACATCAACACCACTGGCAACAATATCAACAAAAGTGTCAACACCATTAGCAACAACATCGGCAACAGTGCCAACAACATCAAGAAAATTGGCAGCAACATCAACACCACTGGCAACAATATCAACAAAAGTGTCAACACTATTAGCAACAACATCAACATCAGCAACAACATCAACAACAGTGTCAACACCATTAGCAACAGCGTCAACAACATCAACAACATCGGCAACAACATCAGCAACAACATCAACATCAGCAACAACATCAACATCAGCAACAACATCAACAACATCAGCAACAACATCAACAAAAGTGTCAACATCAACACCATTGGCAAAAACACTGCCAGAGAAGACATCAACAGCAACACACAGACCACAGAGCATAAAAAGCACAATCCATGGTAAGATATGTAAATAGCATGATATGATTAGATTATCATCACTGATAGCATGGTCATGGACAATACTCATTTATTATTACCGGATGGTACCAGCTCAGCTATACTCTACTCGCCTTTTTTGGTTCTATAATGTCAGATTATATTCAAGTTTTTTACATGTAGATTAATCGTGGAAATGACATTTTCTCTCGGATTATTCACCCTCCTGCTGCCTTTTTTTTTATTACAATGGACCTTATGTGCAGTTGTACCTTTACATCTTAATCATATTACACATAAAAGCAGAGCCCATAAAATACATAATAGAGATTTGAACTATAATAAGAACACTGTGAAGATAATTAGGCTACAAATTTACTCAATGCGATGCCAACAAGCCTCCCTGGCTTTGTCGTCCGCCACGATATTCGATTTAGCCGTTAACTTGTCTTTACATTCATAATTTCCTGACACTACCAACGTGCATTCCTGTGGAGAAATACGGAGCATGCGCCGTTGCGAAAAAACTCTGCCTGCACGACCGAACACACCCCTTTTATGCGAACACGCACCAACTCCAATTAAATTAACACCGGGTTAACACGGACTCATCATCTTATCCACCTTCGTAGTACCGTCTAACTCCAGTGTAGGCAGTCGGAGTTGAACTCCCTTCGTAGTACAGGCCACTGGTACCTAGTACCTGGCATTTTTTGGTATCACCTCTGTCGAGTTTCCAAGCAAGCTCAGGAGATATCAAAACCTGACATGAAAACATTGCAGACTACTGATTGGTCAGAGAAGCAACAACAAATAACCTAGCTAGCAGCCGGTATGCAGTTAGTCCTGTGGCCTGTTTACATTTGAGCTGCTGCGGCTAACGTTAGCTCAGTTTAGGAGCTTAGTTTGTTTTTAGTTTAGGGTTCCTTAGTTGTTGACCATTCAAGACATTTCTACTGGGAGCCAATCTCCTTTCCAAAACAAATGCACCCAGTTATTCAAACATTAGTCCAAAAAAAAAAAACTCTCAAAAAAGTCTCTTCAGTGAGCCGGCCTCTTGACAGTGATTCAGTGGGCTTTGGCGGAGAGGGGCAGACCGGCAAGGAGCTGATCCAAAAAACATTGGCAGGCTGAGCTTTAAAAAATAGAGCAGGGGTCTAAAAAAGCAGAGGTTGTTGATTACTGGAACTCATTTCAGGTGCGTAGGAAGCCTCAGGGGCTCTGATGAGAAGCAGAAAGGGACAGAGAGAACACGGGGCGCCATACAGACTGACAGACAGCGACAGGCGACAGACAGCTGCCAAACAGAAATAACCAGTAGGGAGAAAACAGAGGAGACACAAGGACTGAGGAGGTAGCAAAGCCAAACCATGACAGTGGCGTGTGGCGTTGCTATGATGACCAGCTACAATGAGGGGTACTATGTCTACAATGGAAAATGGAGGACGGAACCAAACGAGCCAAGTAGGTGCGAGATGAGGCGAGCTGGTACAATCCGGTGGAAAAGGGGCATAACTGGTTGGTTTGGCCTAAACACATCATAATAACTAAGCTACCTCCAATAAAGAAAGAGCAGCGCACAATCACTTCCTCAAGCGTGCAGTGGCAGAGACAGTCCGAAACAAGGAAATAACATTCACACACATTCATACAATGGTGGAACAGCCACCAGTGGCAATTCGGGGTTCAGTATCTTGCCCAAGGACACTTTGACATGCAACCAGGGGGAGCCGCTCTACCTCCTGAGCCACAGCCACCCCATGCCTCATGCATGCTTTGTAATCCATGCTTTTCCAAAAACAAGATTTTTTGTCAAACAATCACTTGTAGATGCATGAGCTTTGCCTTTTACAGTAGCAAATTAAATTGTATGTCTAAATGATATTGCTTGCTTCTTGTGATTTTTTTTTTTGTTGAAAAATACGGTGTTACTGCTTTTCTAAAAGACCATCTGAGAGGTCACTTTCTTTGATCTTATTTACTTTATTATTTAATTTACATTTTTTAATTCAGGAGATCTCAAACTATAAAAAAATTCTTCGGTTGACATGATTTATATAGATAAGCAAACCGTTTGCTTGTCTTAAACTGTAAGTTTGCAATTGTACTGATATGATTGTTTGTTTTTTGCTTTTCCAAAGACAAAATGTGTAGTGAAGTAGTGAAAATAGTGGAGCAACTAAAACAAGGTAATATTTCCCCTTATATTAACATTTGTATATTTGGGTTGAAATTACATTATTTGTCAGACCAGCCGTCCAAAACCCAAAAGATATTCCTCACATTTTTGTTTATAAATGATCTAAACCATTTATTTAACCGTTAACTGTTAACATTTTCTTGTTTTTATGTAATTATTTTTGAGATGTTATGAGATTGTTTTCTCATAATGTGTGTTTCTCTCTCCATACCCATGTTCTCATATAACTTCACTTTACTTCTATTTCTTAATTTCTTATTTGCTGAAAAGTTCTCAGAAAGTAAATGGCAGCAGACATCCTTTGATTGACATGGTTCATATTGGTCAAGGTGAAGTTATTTAACATAACGGCAGTTATGTTAAATAAGCGTCTCTTCCTTGTATCGTCAAAAAACAGGCATATTCAAAGAATAAGGCTAGCCTGGAACCCCTAACATTTTCCTATGCTGCCTATGTCAGCAGCCACCTCTGAGCTCTGGTCTGACACTTAGTGAAGCGCTGTGACTCACATGCTGTTACGTTGGAAATGTTATTATTGAATATAAACAATAATGGAAACAAATTTAACAAAAATTGCTTCTGAAGTAAATATAATATTCTCTGATCTCTCCTTATCCAGAGAAAGGGAATCTTCAGATATTATTAATAATGTCCATGATCTGCAACGTAGTCTTGCCTGTGGTGGTTTACCTGTACATGCGACAACACAGGATGCGGGACTGGAGCCTGCAGGTGAGTGTAAACAAAATTGTGTTTGTTTTGGATTGTAACGGTGCATGAAGGCAATAGTTCAACACCCTTGCATACAAAGTGTTGACCCAAGGTCATGTCGGCGGGTTATTCAAGTAGCATTTAATGTGATTTGTTTGAGGGATAATAGAGTGCATGTTACACTTTCCTAATGAAAGCCTCCGGTAGTTTACCTTTTCACCTTGCTACAGTGAGGCACCAGTGTACTTCAAGACCCGGTGACATCAGTGTTAGGTGCGGGGTGTGGTCAGAAGTGTACGTTTAAGAGGTTAAACGAGCTTAAAACTTTTTTACCACCTGCGTGTGGTGATGACACAGTGGATAAGACACATGCCTTTAGTGTGAGAGACCCGGGTTCAACTCCCTTCACTGTGACGCATTCACCAATATGTCCTCGAGCAAGACACTTAACCCCTAGTTGCTCCAGAGGCGTGCGACCGCTGATGGCTTTGGATAAAAGCGTCCGCTAATGAATAAATGTAAAGTAGGGAGTTACTTATAATATACTTAAAATATGTTTAAATCTCCTCAGTAACAAAAATGAACCCTTGCTTGTGGTGTACATATAAGTGTGATCTACATAGTACAGCATCAAAACAATCTTACGTCTTGTTTCTTTTTCAGAATGTGCTTAATGGAGGCTTACAAGTCGCTCAGCCAATGTCTGAGCTGGAGGTACTGTTAAAAATATTTTACAATTATGGAAAAAAATCTATTCTTGGTCTTTAAACTTGACTCACGCTCAGTTTTCCTGTTAATTGTCTATCACTTCCTACTTGGCCTTAAGTATTGATTTTGTTATAATACTAAACTCTCTTTTGCTCAGTCATGCTGTTTTAGCCATGCTTTTCTAATTGAGCTGTTTAGCAACCTCTGTCGCTGGAAGTTAAACAGCTCAATTAGCTCTTTAAACTTGCATTGACCTACAATGAAGTTTTAACAGACAGGAAAGGAAGAGGTCTGCACTCCAGCATTGTTTTCTATGATCACGGAAAAAATCTGAGCATTCATCATTTATCTAAGATACAAAAAAATCATTGGCTTGTTAGCACTCAACAGCTATATATCCCATGAGACTTAGTAATAAGTAATATCAAAGTCAAATTTAAGTGACAACATAGAAACCAATCTGTCAAACCTTCATTCCTTCCTTAAATGTCGGGAACGTTATGTAATCCAAACCTTCATTCCTTCCTTAAATGTCGGGAACGTTATGTAATCCAAAACTGGCTTTCCTTCCTTTTCCTAACCCCTGTTCCTGTTTCAAGCACCACATTAGGCTTCTGCTGCTAGCTTTAACAACATGCCCTTTAGTGAAACATTCAGTGGTGAATAGATTTGTATGTTCAGCACTGATCTCTCTTTCTGTCAAACACACTTCAGGCATTTACAAATTGGGAGGATGTAGAGACTTACATTTAAGGTAATTATGAGCATGAGGGCATAATAAGTAAAATACTGTAAGTGGACTTTCACGCACAAGGCTTTTACCTGGGCAGGTAGCATACAGTTGTCTGGTTTAAGCTTGTTTGTGTTTTATATTGAGAGGTTGATAAGAGTTGTGCCTAAACTGTCTAGTTTATTCACAGCTGGAAATCCAAGAGTTAAAATAGACTTGCATCTCAGTGAGTTTTTAGACTTAATTTTCTCTGAAATACTCCTTAATGTAGGTTGAACTATTGAATCGTTGCCTTTTCTTGAGTTTGTTGCAACATCTCGTGATAAGTATTGTTTTATTCAGTCTTTATTGTGCATTTTGATCGTGACCCATCAATGCAAACTAAAGATTTTAAAGAACTAAAAACCATAAATCAGCCAGTTGACCAGTAACCTCTACACTTGACAGGGATACATGACTGTATGCATCTGCTGACTGCATTAAAATAAAGCCCACAGATACACTCAGTAACATAAAGTGCCCTGCAAATTACAGAGTGAAATGTCTTGACAACTTTTGGATGGATTGCTGGTTGCATGCTAACACGCAACGCTAAGATAATAAAGCTGGTAAAAATTGAAGTGAAAACGTTACTTGCTACACAGGTCATTAACAGGTCATTGTTAGAAAGCTGATAAAGTAACGCCTCACAGAGCTGCTAGCATGGCTGTAGACTCTTAGCTTTTGTTCAGACTGCAAATCAGACTTGTTTCTCAAATGTTTCCCGCACTTTTATTTGCAAATGATCAGATCAGATTTACTGTATTTAACCTATCTCCATGGGTCAATCTGGATTTCACGTCGTCGTTGTACGTCACGTTGCAAGTGATGCAAACGACCAGTTTGAGCAAGCAGAGCTGAACTGACAGACATCTGTTGGAAGCCAACTGGACTTGCATTTCACACCACCTTCATATGTGGCTTAGAGCCGATTTGCAAAAGTCGCATTTCATGTGTTTTTTTGTGTCCATACTTTCTAAAAATCAATCTGGATATAATCTTGCCAAACCAAAAAATAATAATAACTTTATTTGTATAGCACTTTTTAAAACCAAGTTACAAAGTGTTGTACAGTTAAGACAAACATGATCCATACTTAAAAATATAAATTAATTAAAATAAATTAAAAATCAACAATAAAATCAGCATTAAATAAAACAATAACAGCAATAATATAATGTTTATAAAAACACCAAACAATAAAACTGAGACTTGAGAAGAGATTCGACCTCCGGCCAGGGAGTTCCACAGCTGAGAGGCCCGAACAGCAAAGGCTCGGTCACCTTTAGTGACAAGGCGAGACTTTGGAACCATTAGCAGAGCCCTGCTAGAGGATCTCAGCCATCGGTCCGGCTTGTAGGGAGTTATCAAATCACAGATGCAGGTAGGAGCCTGGCCGTTCAGGACTTTAAAAACAAGTAGTAAAATCTTAAAATCAATTCTAAAACTCACAGGTAACCAGTGAAGGCCAGTGAGGATTAGTGTGATGTGGTCACTCCTCTTAGTGCTTACAGTTAAAAGCCTGGCTGCAGCACTTTGAATGAGCTGTAATCTATGAATATTTCCCTTACTAATACCAGAACACAGAGCACTGCAGTGGTCGAGTCTTGAGGAAATAAAGGCATGGATGACCTTCTCTAGATCATCAGGAGAGAGCAATGTTCTAATCTTAGTTAGCTGTCTCAGCTGGACAAAACAGGACTGCACTAATTTTGTCACCTGAGCATCAAAAGACAGCTCTGAGTCAAAAATGACACCAAGGTTGTGAGCTGCTTTCTGAATGTTATCTGAGAAGACACCCAGCCTAGTGGTGAGGTTTTGGGGTTGCAGTTTAAACAAGGCTTTAGTCTTGTTATTATTTAAACTCATCTCTCTCTTTCTCTCTCTCTCTCTCTGTCATACTTATACCATCAACTTTCAGTGTCTCTCCAACGGGACATATTCCCCTGATATACCTATGAAGAACTGTTCTCTTGAAGATGGAACGCTGTAGAACCCTACTCGCCTCACCATCAGGATGCCAGAGGGATCAGCTCTTCACTGCTTCTTAACAGGACAGGACAGCTGAATGACTGTGGTTTGCAAATACCGCAGGGCCCACATTAGGGCAGTTAAACTCGCTGAAGTTTTACCAGATGTGAAGAGGAGTGTGAGTGAACGAGCTGCAGCATACAAGTCCCATCTGCTGTCTAAAACCTCTAATCAAGATCAAGCAACACGACAAGTCAAGTCCATGAAGAGACTTCTGTTGCTCCTGTGACATGTATGTTTCTTTCCACTGTCCTGGAGCTGACCAAACAGAAACCACCTCCACTTCTTTAATTAGCAGGCAGTTAAGCTTTAGTTTAATAGACAGGTAATGACGCAAGATTGTTTGGCTGTGTGTTTGTAAATTTGTAAAATATGCCAGCCGTTGAGCCTTTACTGGGGTTATGTTGTTGTATTTGGGGCACTGAAAAGAAATATGATGTAATATTCAGGCATCAACACTGGCATTACCAACCTGACTGGCTACCTATGTATATTTCACAATATTAGGGGAGTGTGTAAATTTACATGCAGTGTTTCTGTGTCAATACTCCACTATACAGTTTTATACATACATAAGTTATGAATCAAAAACACGTCTGTTTACTCACTTGCTTTTTCACCTGGGACTAACCTTTTTCTCCATAACTCTTTCAATCCAGTCCAGTTCACAAAAGTATGCCTGGAGAGGAAACATAAGGCTTTTTAGCTTCATAAACCACCTCCAGTTCCACCTCAAGAATTTAAACATGAGTTAGAAAAATGTTGACGGTATGTCCTTATACAGAGCAGCACATTGTGCTCTCTAGCAGTATTGCTGCATTGGCAGCTCACTTTCTATGTTTTCATTGCAGACACAGAGTTTTGATTGTGATAAATATAGTAAATGGTCTGTACTTGTTTTTCTAGTCTAGTCTTCCAACCACTCAAAGCCTTTTTATACCCATTCACACACATTCATATACTGATGGTGCCAACTGCTCATCAGAAACAGACATTAACACTGGCACCCCAACTGCATAGCCATGGGAAGCAATTCTCTAGTACTAAAATGTTATGACACAGCACATTGCACAATATTACAACCAGTTCCTCAAAAGCTGTGAAATGATGCTGTATGATGTGAAATTATCATTCTGGAAAGGTTCTCCCACAGACTAAATATTGGATCCACTTATATACACACATACTCTCTTTGAACATGTTGGCTGACAAATGACCCTGAAACATGTACAATCTAATGCAATTTATGCAGGATTTTTTGCACTTGTTTATTGCTTAGTGTTTAATAATATTGTACAGTATGAATGTAGAAGACAGAAGTATGTGAGAAGGCAGAGCTGACCTGGTGGCAGCAATAATGTCATTAGTTGAGAACCTAAAGGTAGGTAGTAATGTCGCAATTCACTAAAAGAATCACTAAATTATCAAAATGACTGATCAAAAATAAATTACTTTAGGTAATATTGGCCAGTTAGTTTGCTTACACTTTGTACCTCCGTCCACTGAGGTGAGATCTCATCCCTTGCCTTTCCATGCAACAAGGAGTAACTGCATAGGTCTACAATAGAGATTCACAGTTAACTAGGAAAGGAATGTTGACGAGAATTTATCATTTTGGCAGCATATTCGAGAGATACAATTGATCATGTTGTAAATAGTAACCAGAACATCTAAGCTATGTCTTTGTCTTTGTATTATTTAACTCCTGTACTATTTTTGTAATATATGTATTTTGTAAAATTTGTATTTTTTTCTTTTTGATGGCACTATGTGTTGATTTGTATGTGGTTATAGCTTCTTTCAAACAATTCTGGTTGCATACATTTTGCTTACGTTATGTGGTGCAACAGGCCCATTCACCTCGTCTCTTTTTTGATACTCACTTAGGGACCCTAAAGTCATAAATGTTAAAATTCTATAAATAATGGCATACAAATGTACATAACACATTACATTGCTTAACAAATAAAGTCATTCTGATGTTGCTTGTTTTGTGGTCATACATTTGTATTATTATAAATTTCTTTATTAGGATAACTACAGTATTTATTGTCCCTAAAGGAGATCTATCAGACTGCATTTCCAGCCCTATATTGTAGTTCTGTGACTCCTCTATGGCGGCTTTGCATGATTCAAAGTTGAGATGCTCCTGTTTCTTTGGCTACGTTCTCACTGCAGGCCTCTGTCCGCGGCCTGAAAGTGGCCCCCATGCAAGGCAAGGCAAGTTTATTTGTATAGCACATTTCAAGGTAACAAGGTAATTCAAAGTTCTTTACATAAAACATAAAAGCAACAGGGAAATACAAAAAAGTTTAAAACTAACATAGGGAAATTGAAGAAAAAAAACACATTAAAACAGGGTAAAACAGGACAGTAAAAGTTACAGTGCAGCGTACAATCAGGGTTAAAAGAGTTGAGAGCTGAGGGGTTGAGCAAATAATTGAGTTACAATTATTTTGAAAAGAGAATAAACAGAGAAGTACACTTAATCTACTCTCTCTAGATAGTCTGTACTTGGGTCCACAGCAATCTTTGGGTCCACTGAAACTCCAAAAACCCTCGGACACTACAGAGAAACCAGGACATGTCTGTCCGCAGGCCACTTTGATCCAGTTATACTCTGGACCCACCTGCGCGTTTACAGGTGGACAGAGGTTCCTGCAAATCACTCGGTCTCGAGATTTAAGACCACTTCCTTCACTCTGTTCAATCTCACTCTAATTATCTTTTCAATTACCTACTAATTTCTCATCGTGTAAATATTTAATTAAAAGCAATGGTAAAAAGAAAAGTCTTAAGTCTTAATTTAAAAGAACTGACAGTTTCAGCAGACCTGCAGTTATCTGGGAGTTTGTTCCAGATATACGGAGCATAATAACTGAATGCTGCTTCTCCTTGTTTAGATTTGACTCTGGGGACAGAAAGCAGACCTGCCCCAGACGACCTGAGAGGTCTGGATGGTTCGTAACGAAGCAGAAGATCAGAAATGTATTTTGGCCCTAAACCATTTAGTGCTTTATAAACTAACAGCAGGATTTTGAAATCAATTCTTTGACATACAGGAAGCCAATGTAAAGACCTCAGAACTGGAGTGATGTGATCTACTTTTTTGGTCTTAGTGATGACTCGAGCAGCAGCGTTCTGAATCAGCTGCAGCTGTCTGATGGATTTCTTAGGGAGCCCTGTAAGGACGCTGTTACAGTAGTCGAGTCGACTGAAGATAAATGCATGGATAAGTTTTTCCAGGTCTTGCTGAGACACAAGTCCTTTAATCTTAGGCAAAGTAGGCTGACTTTGTAATTGTCTTAATGTGGCTCCTCAAATTCAGGTCTGAGTCATGACTACACCAAGATTTCTGGCTTGATTTGTGGTTCATGACTTGCAATCGTTCTTCCTTGGCTCCAAAAACAATAACTTCAGTTTTATCCTTGTTTAATTGAAGAAAATTCTGGCACATCCAATCGTCGCTCAGTGCTTGTATGGGGTCAGCACGCTGTATCCAAGTAATGAAACGATAAACAAGGAGCCACAGGAGTTAGCATTGGTTAGCTCATACTAGAATAACCCTCCCTATTTTCACGGGAGACTCATTTCATTGTACTCTCATGGGTCATAATTCGGGAGAAATGTGACCCATGAGAGTACAATGAAATCTGGAGTCTACCGTGAAAGAGAGCTCGTGGTCTGGTGGATTTCAGGTGGAAGATCAGATTCCATGTGACTTGGCTTGTTCACACTCTCATAAAAAGATCAGATCTGAGTCACATGTGAGCAAAAAAAAATCAGATTTGGGACATTTTGGCCTGCAGTCTGAACAACAGACCCTGGTAATACCTGGTATTCAAAATTTTCTGTACTTGTTTTTGGCCACTTGGCAACTGGAGCAGTTGAAACAAGCTTCAAACAGTTACATATAATTAACTTATATTATTATTACCAAACATGATAGCTTACAGTTGCTTATTTACACATAAAGCAGATAAAGAGCAACATTGTACAGAATACTGTAAATGTTCAAATTGAGTTTGCTTTTAGCTCTGGTCTGGACTCCTGATGGAAATATCTGGCTTTTAGGCTAGTAAAAGCTCCACTGTGTTTAACAGCTAATCAAAACGTTGCCTATTTTGGGCTGGGCAGGTAATCTGCAATTGCTTGCTTCTGGAAACAACACTGATGAGAGCCATGAGAATGAGTCAAAACAGTAAAGTTGTGGGCCACAAAACCGAAACAATATGCAGAAAGATGCTAAAACACTCGGTTGAGGGGGATCATTCTTTGTGTTCGTCAAGCGACTCTTTTCACATTACACATCATGTCATTTCAGCACTTGTTAAAATTAAATTACAGTAGGCCTATTGATGGAACAGCTTTAAGGGACTCAGTTCACAATTTTCCCAGTCCTGTACCTGATCAAAAAGATTGTGCTTTGCATTATTTTAATATGAAAAAGTCAAACATTACAAAATAATTACCCAATATGTCAATAATAACTAATTCACAATTATGTTTGAAATGGTTTTGGAACTGTTTAAGTTTATTTCACTTTTTAAAATCAAAAAAACTCTTATTGAAATGGAATGCACTGGAAGGAGAGATATGCACATGCAGTAAAATAATGTGACCGGAGGCTATGTGCAGTTTTTTGAGTGGTAATGTAGGTAAAAGGGCTGCTGAAACTTCCCCTGCTGTGTTATGTTAGCTGTTTCCTTTTGTTCCTGGTCTCAAACAGAGCAGCTGATAAATCTCTCTGGGCATCAGACCTGAATAAGGCACAAGGAGAGTGGTATGCTGAGGGTTCCCAGAAGTGAAATGCAGTTCCAGCAATCAAACAAGTGTCACTGAGGAAAGCCTTCCAGGCTGCGAGCTAGCCCTCTAGCATTATTGAGACCCAAACAGACCAAATTTCTGTTGTGACACTCTCACGGACACTTTAAGGTGACATTTAAAGCAATAGTTTTGCCTTTTTTACCAACATTGAGAAGATTAATAGAACTCACACACACACTCAAAAGATAAAGATAACAAAATCCACCTACCAGCTCCTCAAAAGCTCCCTAATTAACATTTTAGTTCCGATTTCTTTAATCCTTACAAAAGCCAAAGAGTTCATAGAATAATTTGACATTTAACTGGGGTTATGTGCTAGACTATTTCCCATAATCCCCGAATCATTTCCAAAAATGTCAAACTATTACTTTAATTTAAAGATCTGCAAGCAATTACTTTGTCTTATATAGGGTTAGCCTCCTCAGGGTTCAGAATCAGAATTAGAAGGAGCTTTATTGCCAAGTAGTGTTTTACACATACGAGGAATTTGCTTTGGTGATGAGGTGCTACATGTTGACAAACATACAGTTGACATAAATAAATGTACAGGTGCTGGTCATATAATTAGAATATCATCAAAGAGTTGATTTATTTCAGTAATTCCATTCAAAAAGTGAAACTTGTATAATGTATACATTCATTCCACACAGACTGATATATTTATATTTATATATTTAATATAAATTGTGATGATTAAAACTGACAACTTATGAAAACCCCAAAATCAGTATCTCAGAAAATTAGATTATTGTGAAAAGGTTCAATATTGAAGACACCTGGTGCCACACTCTTATCAGCTAATTAACTCAAAACACCTGCAAAGGACTTTAAATGGTCTCTGTCTAGTTCTGTAGGCTACACAATCATGGGGAAGACTGCTGACTTGTCAGCTGTCCAAAAGACGACCATTGACACCTTTCACAAGGAGGGCAAGACACAAAAGGTCATTGCTAAAGAGGCCGGCTGTTCACAGAGCTCTGTGTCCAAGCACATTAATAGAGAGGCGAAGGGAAGGAAAAGATGTGGTAGAAAAAAAGTGTACAAGCAGTAGGGATAACCGCACCCTGGAGAGGATTGTTAAACAAAACCCATTCAAAAATGTGGGGGAGATTCACAAAGAGTGGACTGCAGCTGGAGTCAGTGCTTCAAGAACCACCACGCACAGACGTATGCAAGACATGGGTTTCAGCTGTCGCATTCCTTGTGTCAAGCCACTCTTGAACAAGACACAGTGTCAGAAGCTTCTTGCCTGGGCTAAAGACAAAAAGGACTGGACTGCTGCTTAGTGGTCCAAAGATTTTGCATTTCCTTTGGAAATCAAGGTCCCAGAGTCTGGAGGAAGAGAGGAGAGGCACAGAATCCATGTTGCTTGAAGTCCAGTGTAAAGTTTCCACAGTCAGTGATGGTTTGGGGTGCCATGTCATCTGCTGGTGTTGGTCCACTGTGTTTTCTGAGGTCCAAGGTCAACGCAGCCGTCTACCAGGAAGTTTTAGAGCACTTCATGCTTCCTGCTGCTGACCAACTTTATGGAGATGCAGATTTCATTTTCCAACAGGACTTGGCACCTGCACACAGTGCCAAAGCTACCAGTACCTGGTTTAAGGACCATGGGATCCCTGTTCTTAATTGGCCAGCAAACTGGCCTGACCTTAACCCTATAGAAAATCTATGGGGTATTGTGAAGAGGAAGATGCGATATGCCAGACCCAACAATGCAGAAGAGCTGAAGGCCACTATCAGAGCAACCTGGGCTGTCATAACACCTGAGCAGTGCCACAGACTGATCGACTCCATGCCACGCCGCATTGCTGCAGTAATTCAGGCAAAAGAAGCCCCAACTAAGTATTGAGTCCTGTACATTCTCACACTTTTCATGTTGATACTTTTCCGTTGGCCAACATTTCTAAAAATCCTTTTTTTGTATTGGTCTTAAGTAATATTCTAATTGTCGGAGATACTGAATTTGGGATTTTCATTAGCTGTCAGTTTTAATCATCACAATTACATGAAATAAACATTTGAAATATATCAGACATAAATCAACTTTTTGATGATATTCTAATTATATGACCAGCACCTGTAAATTGACAACATAAAAATGACGAACAACGAAGATTAACAATTAATAACAAATATGTGCAATGTGCCAGGTTCGTGTA